GAGCATGTTTTCATATGTCTATTGGCCATCTGTATGTCCTCTTTGGAGAAGTGTCAATTCAGGTCCTTTGCCCATTTTTTAATTGGGTTGTTTGGGGTTTTTTGGTGTTCAATTGTATGAGTTCTTTATAAATATTGGATATTAACCTCTTATCAGATGTATCCTTGGCAAATCTGCTCTCCCACTTAGTGGGCTGTCTTTTCATGTTGTTGATGGTTTCTTTTGCTGTGCAAAAAAGTTTTTAGTTTGGTGTAGTGACATTTGTTTATTTTTTTATTTTGTTTCCCTTGCTTGAGGTGATATATCAGAAAAAAATACTGCTATGAGAAATGTCCGAGATTTTATTGCCTATGTTTTCTTCTAGGATAAATCAACAAACAACAAGTGTTGGTGAGGATGTGGAGAAAAGGGAACCCTTGTGCACTGTTGGTGGCAATGCAGATTGGTGCAGCCACTATGGAAAACAGTATGGAGGTTCCTCAAAAAATAAAAAATGGAACTGCATTATATTCAACAATTCCACCTCTGTGTATATATCCAAAGAAATCCAAAACACTAATTTGAAAGAATATATGCACCCATGTGTTTATTGCAGTGTTATTTACAACTAGAGGCCTAGTGCATGAAAGTTGTGCAAGAGTAGGCCTTCCTTCCCCCGGCTGCCGTCACCGGCTTCCCTCTGGCATCCGGGACCGAGGCTTCCCCAGCCCCAGCTTCATCTGGAAGGTCATCAGGAAGGACATCCAGAAGGATGCCTGGTCTAGTTAGCATATTATGCTTTTATTATTATAGATAGCCAAGATATGGAAGCAGCCCCAGTGTCTGTCAATAGACAAGTGGACAAAAAAGTGATGGTACATATATGTAATGAAACATTACTTGGCCATAAAAGAATAAAATCATACTATTTTGACAGCATGGATAGACCTAGAGCAGTGGTTCTCAACCTTCTGGCCCTTTAAATACAGTTCCTCATGTTGTGACCCAACCATAACATTATTTTCGTTGCTACTTCATAACTGTAATGTTGCTACTGTTATGAATCATAATGTAAATATCTGATATGCAGGATGGTCTTAGGCGACCCCTGTGAAAGGGTCGTTAGACCGCCAAAGGGGTCACAACCCACAGGTTGCGAACCACTGGCCTAGAGGGTCCTATGCTAAGTGAAATAGGTCAGACAGAGAAAGATAAATACTATGTGATTTCACTCTAAAGAATAAAATAAACGAATAAGCAAAATAGAAAGAGACTCATAGGTACAGAGAACAGATTAATGGTTGCCAGAGGGATGAGGGGCTATGAATCAGGTGAAAAAGGTGAAGGGATTAAGAAGTAGTAACTGAGAGTCACAAAATAGTCATGGGAATGTAAAGTACAGCATGGCGAAGAGAGTTGGTAATATTGTATCAACGATGTATGTGTCAGGTGGGAGATAGCTGCGCAGAGTATGTGATTGTCTAACCACTGTGCTGTGCACTTGAAACTAATACAAAGTAGTGTTGAATGTAAACTGTAATTTAAAAATAAAATTTAAAATACTGATAACATCCCTGCCCTTCTGTGTGACAATGCTACCTTTCACTGGCTGCCACGTTGGTAAGCTCCCAGATGTGCATGATCAGAAGAAAGGGTGAGTGGGAATCCATGCTGTCACCTTACGTCCAGTGCGATGTAGACATTGTGGGCTACAAAGTTAATGGCTCTAAACTTTTCTGAACAGGGAAACATGAAAGTAATCAGAGATGCCCTTACCCCCAAGCCTAACTAGTCACTCTAATGAATACTCACAGTGACACTCACACTGTAATAATGAAGCTTTCTTGAAGACAGAGGAACAATGATTTCCTGCAATTAAAAATGTTCCTGTATTTAAATTAATGGCTTCTAAAATCACTAGAATTAAAAGCTACACCCTGATTATGAATGGGTTTAACCCAGAAAAGGCAGACCAAGTGTGCTGCCTTTGGGGGGACATGATGAAAGTGATTCTTGCCCAGTTTCTGAGAATGATCCTAAGAGGCAGTAAAAGTAACGGAGTGCAAGGTTTGCAGGGCAACTGGGCAGCCGTCCAGCTTCTTATCGTTCTGAATAGTCCCATGTTTCGGATGATTATGTCTGAAAAAACAGGATCTAGAAAATTTAAAGCCGGTGACTTTGGACTAAATCTCAGGGGAGAACTGAGCAAATGCCAAATGCCTAATTAGAAGGCGACAATAAAAAGGTCGATTTCTTCCATTCTTTGTTTCTTTAAAAAAAATAATAATAATAACTTGAATCTCAAAGCTAAAACTTTTTTTTTTAAATATATTTTATTGATTTTATACAGAGAGGAAGGGAGAGAGATAGAGAGTTAGAAACATCGATGAGAGAGAGACATCGATCAGCTGCCTCCTGCACATCTCCTACTGGGGATGTGCCTGCAACCCAGGTACATGCCCTTGACCGGAATCAAACCTGGGACCTTTCAGTCCGCAGGCCGACGCTCTATCCACTGAGCCAAACCGGTTTCGGCTCAAAGCTAAAACTTTGAAACACTGCCCAGCTGGTCATCGGATGTGGCACAATGCAGGTGCCACAGTTGCCTAATGGACGTTGGGTATTGGAAAGGCTGGTGCAGTTTTTGAGATTCAGAACAAATTTCCAAATGATATTAGCAGGACCGAAATGTTGCGTTCCTGAAGTTTTAACATGTGGTGGATGACTTATACTGGAATATTCTTTTTGTCCTTCATATTTGATTTGTTAGACTATTTAGAAGATTTTTCTTTAAGCACACCAAGTCATGGCTAAAATTCCTATTTAAATAGACATTTATAAATTTGGTTTCACATTCTATTAAAATAGCATTTGCTTCATAAAGAAGGCTGAAATCTCATTAAAGAGCTAGATAAAGTTAGAAGTATAGAAATATACAAGATCAGTATCAGTTCGGTGAAATTACATAGTGTTTCATTGCACAGGGAACCCTCTTCTACACAATGTGCTTTTCATAACCTAACTCATTTTTTTTAAAGATTTAGGAATAGGAATCTTTCTCCCAGTTCTGATTTTTAGATGTGCTTATAAATTAAAATGAATAAACCAACAGGACCACAGAGGAGTCGGATGAGACAGAACCTCCTATGGCAATGAGGAATTGGCTCCCTTACTGAGGTCTGCTCTCTGTCCAATGCCAGAGCAGGCCAGTCTCCCACCTGCTGCCAGGCTCCACCTCACCCAGGGTTTTCCAGGAGATCCTAGGATTTGTGATGCCCTTTGAAACAGCAAACTTGAGCTCATCATCAAGTCCATGAAGATTAGGGGGGATTTAAGAGTCCTCTCCAGGGATTAATTGCTACTTTAAAACAATGCTGGATTTGAAAAGGAATTCTCCCAGGCACCAGTGGATTAATCTTGCCATTTCTCTGCTGAGATAAATGAAAGAAGAAACAATGCCAAGAAACACTATTCTGTCAAAGGATCCTCCAAAAACTAAACAGTCCAGAGTGCAAAAGCCAAGATTTATAAGCAGCAGGAAGTATGTGGGGCCCTTCAGAATAAAATAAATTCCCCTGTGTATTTTGGCCGTGTTCTTCTATTCTTTTCAGAATCAAGACAGATTGTTTCACATGCAAGAAAAAATTTCCTTGTGGGTTTATCTCAGAAGATTCACACTCCAGCCTGCTCCTCCCAGGCCACCTGGTAGACTGAAATATGCTAAGAAAATACAAGTTAATCTCTAAATTAGGCCGAAGCCAATTTAACTGAGAGGATATCAGCCTCATAATAATGAGAGTATTTTCAAAGCCTCAAATAAGTAATGTTTAGAATACCCATCCCTCTTATTATCATTAAATAATATGATTAATAATAGATGGGGCACAGATACGTAAACAAATCTCAAGTGGGAGAGAGGTACCATGAGTCTGTCTTTGAGAATTGGCTGTAACCAGGACAGAAACTTGATTTTAGAATTGGTCTTTGTAATAGCTTTGAGTCCCTTCTTCACCAAATGCATGAACTTAACTGTAACCTAACATCCATCCTTCTGTTGGTCAATGTAGGTTTTCCCTGTCCTCTGGGAAAAGAGCATCTGACCCTGGAGGCAGAAGTTCTTTCTCTAAGAAGCTTTGTAATTTATTCATGCTTGTCTGCCACAAATGGCACAAAAAGGACTGTTTCTTTGAGTGGGTTGGCCTTAACTCATACTATACAACTTCACTTTCTATTATCCTAAGAGGACCCTGGGTTTGAAATTTTAAAAACTGCTCTACTGCCTCTCAAATTGGAAAAGAGAAAAAATGAGGAGCAAGTAGCATTTTATTAAGAAACTCAAAGGAGCAGACACTGGTTGGGGGACAGTGTAAGATGTTATCTGATAAGCATCATTCACCAGAGTGAAATCTGACATGTTCCCTGATTCAGTAGTTACTCCTGCAACCCTTCTCCTTAAAAACCATAGCTCAAAGTTACCATACATGGTACTCAGTGTTTTGTATTGTTTTTACCTTTAAAAAATTCTTATACTTTTCCAAATGCATATATATTTTCTCTGGAGAACTTTAAAATAACTTGACCAAAGCATGCTTCATTTACATAACTTTTCCCTGAAGAACACAGGTACACAGATCAAAAAGCGTCCCTTAAAGGTGAAATTAATTGTTTTGCTCCTAAAACTACCAGGTGTTACTACTTCTCTAAATATTTTGCAATAACCTAGGTACCTAGACCAATGGACCATAGTACTATGAACCGTGAAAGGTTAACCATCTGAGCTAATACTAGATGAGAGTTTGGGGGATGAACAGGACACTGGGTCAAGCCCTGGCCATAGTCACCTGTCTCCTCGTAGACAAGGTGTTGATGAGAATGCAGACCCATCAGGACCGCACAGGTTTAAGCCAAGCACAGTAAAGCATACAGCACTATGCACATGTAGCTATGACTATTCCGCTTCCGCACCTGTTAAGGGTCAAGGCCCTCAGAAATCAAAGGAAGATTTATGAAGTCAGATTTACCAGTTCTTCATTTTCAAACTCCAGGTTATACTGTGCTGCTTCTTCTGTCACTGGTTTCTGAACGATGTTTCTGCAGATGAGCCAGATGGCCAGGCTAGCGATGAACATCCCAATATCAGGCACAAACACTCTGATCCCATTGCCAGCATCAGCTCCCTTTAAGCTGTGGAAGGAAAGAAAAAGAGGAGGAGATTTAGTTGCTTTTATATTTCCATGGTTAAATTAGCATAAAGTATGTTTGAATCTACTTAATGATTTAAAACAAAGGATACCCAGTTTCTGCTCCAAAGGTACCAAACAGCTTTTCATTGACCTCAGAGTCTTATGTAATCTAAAATTTAGAAAGGTATCATGGCTTCTCTGGAGTTCTGGAAATATTATAAAGACCCCTAAATCAATGCTCACTCTCAAAACAAGCTAATAAACTATATTATTAAATAAACAACATGTCTGGTCCAGATATAGGTGCTTGCACTCTAAGGGAAGCAGGTAAAAACTAGGCATATACTAGCAGCTAACAGAGCTTTTACTTTAGACATACATCAAAGCCAGAAGGGAAAAAAGTAGAGAAAATGCTAATAAAATCCTTGAATTCAGGAATCTCTTCATTATTTGTAATACTTAGTTGATTTTTTTCCATATTATTCCAAGAAAGGTAAGTCTAGTATGTTTTTTTCTTTTAGTCTTGAGAATTAACAATGAACTTCAAACTAGAAATTGGGGTTCAAGTGTCAGTATGACATCGACTAGCTGCATTCCACTGGAGGATTTCTCAGAGTCATATGTTCTTCCTCTGTGCCAAAAAGATAACACTATTTGCCTTCTTTATCTCATTTGAGGCCAATGAAAGTGAATCAATGTTATCAGAAATAAAACTTGTTTAGAGACAGGAAGCAAAAGATAGGAATATATATCATGTAAATATATATGTTTTTTCATATACTCTTTATGTAATTAAATACATACTGTGTTAAAGTCATGCTCATTTACATTGCATATATTATACTAGAGACCTGGTGCACGGATTTGTGCACTGGTGGGGTCCCTTGGCCTGCCTGCGTCCTCTCATAATCCGTGGTGGGGTCCCTTGGCCTGGCCTGCGTCCTCTCATAATCCAGAACCCTCAGGGGGTATTGGACTGCTGCTTTCTGCCTGATCCCCATAGGCCAGGCTGAGGGACCCCACTGGTGCATGAATTCCATGGCATTTTATGGAAAGTACCATTACGTGAGTTGAGGGGGAAAGTGTTCTTAAAGGAAAGCTAACAAGAGCTCCTGCGCCATGTCCAACCAACACTTCTGGCACCACTTCTTCAAAATAGACTCGCCCAGGCCGAAAATCGACTTCTGCGCATGGGCCATGAAGTTTCAATCACACTGTACATGCGTGCCCGCATGTGGTATTTTGTGGAAGAGCCACACTCAAGGGGCCAAAGAGCCGCATGTGGCTCGTGAGCCGCGGGTTGCCGACCACTGTGCTAACCCATTAACTATGACTCTTGGCTTGCTGAGTTAACAAAGCAGTGTACTCATAATACTACCATTGCAGAAACAATAAGAGTGAGGAATCTATTGAAGAGCATGTATAATGAATGGGTCATAGTCTAATTGATACATTATTTGGCGACCATTTTATCAACAAAATTTCCTTCTTCAATTTTTAGACCAGTGCCTACTAAAGTACATTAATCTGAATGCTAGTCCTCAGAAATGCTGTTAATTAAAACAAAACAAAATGAAACAAAAGTTAAAAAATAGTCTTAGGTCCAAAAAATGTTAGAAAATCACAATGCATATTTCTATAGTAAAGTACGTGAGGGGTTCTGTAGTAAAACAATACATTTGTGTTTGTTTAAGCCTCTGTTCCCCAAATTTATTTGATTAAAACTATTTCTTCAAAATTATACGTAATATTTATTATATTCTGCTGAGCTAATGTTCATGGAACAGATTTTTAAAAAATGTTGGGTTAGAGTCTGCTCATGGGTCTAGATATTTGGTCAAAGTGAATAGATAACATGGAAACTATACTAATGTGTAGCTAATCCCTATATATTTGGCTTTTAATAGGCCTCTGATAATTTTAGAAGTCAATAACATCTCATTCAGCTCCTTCACCCAATCACCCAAATATCTACCCATTCACTCAGTTCATGCTGGGAGCCATATGGGCTCTGTGCTTGGGAGAGGAGTTATGGCTGAAGGGGTAGATTTGAGAGTTTTCTTCTCACATATGTTGACTCATTCAATAGAGTAAATTAGTGTTCAGGGACAGGATATGCCCTCCAGTGGTTGGTGAACTGCAGCTCACGAGCCACATGCAGCTCTTTGGCCCCTTGAGTGTGGCTCTTCCTAAGCCTTAGGAGTACCCTAATTAAGTTAATAACAATGTACCTATATTTAAGTTTATGTTTAAGTTTAAAAAATATATAGTTTAAGTTTAAAAAATTTGGCTCTCAAAAGAAATTTCAGTCGTTGTACTGTTGATATTTGGCTCTGTTGACTAATGAGTTTGCTGACCACTGGCATAGGGTAATATATGTGTGAGGCTCTCTAAAGTAATTATATATATATACATTACAGGCATTGAACAATAAGTTAAATTTTATTTTTAGTAAATTCTGCATTTGGGACTAAGCTAACCAGGTTTTGCATAGACGTCCTGATTTAATAAATTAATAATATCTATGTATACATTTCCCATACAATGTTATCCTAGACAGTGCTGTTTTCCAGGCATATGAAATTACATTTTTTTCATATATAAAAGTATGTACTAAACTGCTTAAAACATCATGTTCTCTTAAACAGGCAAACATTTCCTTTCCAATTTGTTATCATCATTGATCTTATTTATTCAGAGTGATTATACCTCTTGAAAGGGAGGTGAGAAAGCTGGAAATTGAGAATAACCTACATATCCATCAAGAGAAGAATAAATAGATTAAATTAGGATAGATCCATTCGATAAAATAAATACTATAAATCAACAAATTTGTATAAATTGTGTGACCTATGTTATCTTACAAACATAGCACTGAGAAAAATAAAGGAAAGAAAAAGTAGTAAACATTCAGAATGTTAATCACTTAAGGATTCAGGCATAAAGAACTACATGCACACAACTATTTCTGGGCAAGGGTGAGGGATACAGTCAACTGTATTGGTAATGTTGAAGTTCTTACACTGGTTGAAAGTTGATTGATAGATACAAAAGTATATCTTTCATACTTCATATTTTTCATAGTCAGTCATACTGCTTTCTTATGTAGAAAATATTTGAAGAACTTTAAGTCAATTACCTAGCCTGGGAAAGATGATAAATAATCGATGCCATAATAGTCATGCTTATATTTGGCCTGATTGACTCATTAATTAAATTAAGTTACAATTTTTCTGTCCAAGTCCAGTGAAGAAGAAAAGACAGGTATGTGCATTCATGAGCAAATTATTTTCCTAAATTTGTTCCTCACAGACAAAATGACTTTTTTAAGGGTCTTCCCAAGTCTAAAATTTTATTATGACTAGGAAAATCCACAACAAGGAGGCAGTGAGACTGAGATAGGATCAGGAAAGAAGAAAAATGTCACAGTTTCGGGAAATGCTGACAATGAGCATCCAGGTACAAACACGACCAAGATCATTTAAGAAGTTCAAAAAGAATACTCCCATTTGTGCCACTCTTTGGGGAAAACAAGTCCTTTGTTTCAGAATTGGTAAGAAGGTCAACTTCAATGGATTTCCAATACAATGATTAAAATTTCAAATGAGCATTATTAATGAATACAAACTATTAGAATGGTTGTATCTAGTCCTCTGGTGGCCTCTGAAGCTCATGCACTGAGAGTGGGTCTACGTTTGCTTTTGTTTTTCTTAAGCAGAGGCCAGGTTCGTTGATTCAGCTTTACCAGTCACTCAGATTTAATAAATCATTTTAAGGGCAGACAAATCAAGTGAATGTACATCTAATAGTAAAAACAATGAAAGAGGTCTCTGATTTCAACTGTTTCCCACATATGTCTTACCAATAGCCACAGAGGCTATTTTTTAATACTAGAGGCTTGGTGCACAAAATTCTGCATGGGGTGGGGGGGTCCCCTCAGCCCGGCCTGCACCTTCTCCAATCCAGGATCCCTTGGGGGATGTCTGACTTCCTCTCACAATCCAGGACCACTGGCTCCTAACTGCTCACCTGTCTGCCTGCCTGACCGCCCCTAACCACCTCTGCCTGCCTGCCTGCCTTATTGCCCCTAACTGCTCCCCTGTTGGCCTGATCACCCCTAACTGTCTCTGCCTCACCCTGCACCCGGGACCTGGGCTTCCCTCTCTCTGGCCAGCCGCAGGTACCCAGAATCCAGGCCAGCTTCGCCCAGGCCAGCTGCAGCCGCAGGAGACCGTGGGCGGGTGGCTTTGCCTGGGTGGCAGCCGCAGGTGCCCAGGAACATGGGGCAGGCGGCTTGTCCCTCCCCCAGGCCACAGCCTGGCTTGTCTCTCACAAGCTCATTTGTTTCTGGCTGGTCCCCATTCCTCTCTCCCCAGTGTTGAGTGTCTGAGCCATTACAGCGTGATGGCGTGAGGGTGTGACTACCATTTGCATATTAATTCTTTATTATATAGGATTTAACTTCATACAGCAAGTCATGATAGCAGGACTAATATATTTTATGTGAGTAGAGAAAGATTTAGATTAGAAACTCTGGCGAGTAATGTAACATTTATTGAGAATCACGTTCAATATTGGGATCAAGGGAATCCAGTTGATGCATTAGAGAATCCAAACAATTAGCTCATTTCCGTGAATTTCTACCACTAAAATGGCAATTAAATGCCAATTTCTAATTACCTAAAGGTGTGAGTTGGTGCTGAATTTTCAGAATATATTTTACATTAGTGGTTGGATTTGTGTGAATACTTTAAAATCAAAACACTGCTTGACTATTTTAATCATTTATCTCATTGTGAGAAGCTGTTGTAACAGACACACTTTATTTTCATATCAGTGTGTCTCTCCTGGCTTTTTACTTTGTTATTTATGAGGTAGAGGGCCAATTAAGAGAGTCCTAAAGTCCTTGCTTTGATGGAGGGCATTCACAGGGGTGAAGAGGAGAGAAAGGGAAGAAAGGGGGAAGGGGACTGTCACATATTCGTCCTGTGCACTGGCTGT